TTTTTCTCTGTTATTCCCTGGCTGATTAACACATTCAATTCACAATGCCAATGGCAACAATTTGTTACCTGCGGCTTCTCCCTTCGCTACTCAGCTTCATCGCATAAGTTTTTATGTTTATTATATTATTGCTCACATCCTTTCACATACTGTTTACATCTGTACGATCATTTATAGTTTAGTGAATGAGACAGGTGGTGATATGAATGAGTTGCAGTTATCCAGGGTCCCACAAGCGATGACAAGTCTGTACTGGGTGCTCCATGGGGTATTAAGTAGAGGTCGGGTAAAATATTGTAACCACGGTTGTCTTAATACTGAATATCGAATGAGAGAAAAGGTGCAGTCGCACCGCGGACGCCACCTTGCAGTATATTCCACCTATGTGTTGCCATGAAACGAGCTACCTATCATATAAGTTGAAATTAGTGACATTTTTTCTATTCTGAACTGCGTTGGGCGGTTGTGTAGATATTTCACATTATTACTCAACTTCTCTGTAGACACTGGCGTCTTCCAGATTATATGCATTCCGCTCTAGATGAGCCCGGTAGGTAGAAAGCAGTGCATTTTTTCACAGTTATTAGCGGATCAAGACGGTTGATTTGTTTGCACGATTACCGAAAACTCAAATTTGATGCTTTCAGCCGGACCAAATTTGTTTTATCTTCTTTCTTTTACTCCATCTTGCAACTATTCACAACTGAGTTGTTTTGAACGAAAAGCGAAAGGTCGAAACAGTGCAATTGGCTTTTCGCACCAGATACACAGACGATTCAGGAAGTGTGTGAATTGACCTGTGAATTGTGATCACCCACTGCCGTCTGACACGATTTAATCGATTGATATTAGACAACGGTAGTATTTATTGCCTGGAGTGTTGAGTGCTGAAACATCACTTAGTTTTTTTTCGCGTAATTTGGATTTGAGCTTTCTTCCCACCTGATCTCACCCTTTGTCCAGATGCGAATTCTAAAAGTGGTTCACACATACCAGGACCCTTTTTCGTGACTGAGAGCGTACCGTATGGATCGTTCGATTAGATTATCAAAAGCTCATCTGTAGTATAGCCATCAGAAATACAATGTATTCTATCGCAGGTTATTAAAACCTCGAACGACACGAAAACAGGGTTAGTGATCATATTTTTCTGATCCCACAATGTTAATACCCAACCAATTCTATACTTTACCAATCCACGCATTGATACCTTACAAAACATTTCAGACCCACCCTACCACAAGGGTCTCGCTACTCGTCTACCTAAATGTATTCTTTCCATGCCTGTGCGAATAATACCCTCGACTGATAACGACTGGTACACTGACCAGTTTCATTAATTCAGTAGAAATATGTTATTAGCAAATATGTGTGTGTATGTGCATGTGTGTGTGTGTGTGTGTGTGAGTGGTTCCAGCGTATTTTTTATAGAGGAGATATAAGAGCAGATCTGTAGTCTCACTCACTTACCGTGGATACAACTACACTAGATATTTTTGAAAATCAATCTATATATATGTATAGAAAAGTATGATGAACATCATGGGTCAGGGAGACGGAGAGGGGTAGTGCGGGGCCGTGCGCGTGCTGGATATTCTGTTCTTTTTTAAAATCATTTCAATAGCAATGGCACGTTTATCGACGATAAAAACACATCTGACTCAAACAGTCACGGAAATGTCGATTGAGCGCGGTGTAGAGAAAAAAATGCACCATCGATGTGATGAGACACAACAATTGACTCAAATGTTTGTACAGACTGATATACACGGGACACGAGTTACATAGTTTTTTGGTGATCAGTTCCAATATGTGCACATAAGCAAAAGCCTGAGGAATTTGTCCAACTAGAAACAGAAAAATCACGGCTACCAGGAGAATTGACAATTTGTTATTCGCTTGTTGACATCGTTCCAACCGTGGTCCTGGCCCGCTCGATTTGGTTGAGGTGACCCGAGGTTGGGGTAGAATCCCGTTGTCGGAATTCGCACGTTGGAGTAAGGATCGACGAGTTTTTGGGGAATGATCTTCCACCGTTCGATTCCCGTTCACGTGGGATATCATTGTGGATTGACGCTCTGCTTCAATCCGATGCTCGATCATGGTGGACAGCATAGCGTCCGTCTGTTGATGTGGCTTATTTTGAAACTGTTTGTTCAAATATTGCCGCTGATGTCGATAACTGGTCCAGATCAATATCAATAGGAGTGAATTCATCACACACAGTGTGACCAATGGAATGAATTGGACAAGTATAAACCTAATCCATGTGTAGCTATAATAATACATGGAACTTCCAAAGTGCGTCAGACTGGTCGTTTGAAAGTGACGTGTCTGGTTGTTCCCGATTGATCGGGTCACGTGACGAACTTCAAGCACAAAAAAAAGAGGTAAATGAAATGTCACGGCTACCACGGCTATCCACACCACTTGACGTTTTCCTTGATCGCGTGAAAACTTCAGCTTGCCCATATGTGGCCATCGAATAGTTACATAACGTTCGGTAGATATGAGCACGGTGATCCAGGCAGACAGCGCCTCAAGCATGTTGCCCAATTCAAATCCAACATAAGTGACGTAATAGGACAGGTAGGGTCGAAGCCATTTGAACAAGGATGTTGTACATAAATGAATTCGACGATCACATCTAAAATCGTAAGGAAAAGAAAAAGGATTCCAATCTGAGTGAACAGTATTCAAATGATATCTATAATACTGATCAGATCAGCTTTTGTAAATGTTACTCTTATCGCAAAACAGATTGAGCTTTGAATATAATATAATCTGGCTTCATTGGAAATCAACACACCCCTTTTTACAGAACACAAGCCGAACAGTGCTCATGCCTGGCTTTTAGGATGGCATCGGGAATACTGATCACGCGAGAAATTCCGAAATTTCTGCAAAACACTATACAACTATAGCACTTTGAGTAATGAATTTCTTTACAAGTTAGAAAAAACAGTAATTGCACTGCCCAGCAAGCAAATGATGCTTTGAGTTGCTCCATGATTGCAGTTAGAATAATAATCTAAAATGGTTGAGCATAAAGTGTGCATGATAGAACGGGTTGACAAGTAAACCTTTGGTAATTGAGCGAGATATTACGGTTGGAGATATTTTTCCATCTTTATAAAAGCAACGTATATCTAAACAAACCGAGTCGGGACATTAGTCTAACATATCCGAGCTGTGATACTGTGAGGACTAGTGATATTACATAACAAAATCTCTGCAGGAGCATGAAGGTTGAGATGGAGAAAAATTAACTCAAGAAAATGGCTTATATTTCGATATGGCAATGGTCTTTGCGCCGGTAAACAAAAACGAAAACGGTATTGTTCGTGGATTATGTGGTAAAATCGCCATTGATTCGAATCGGAAGAATTTTTGTGTGATAAGCAGCAGACGAGATAATCCCCGTAGTCAAGTGGACCTGTGGTTCATTTGTGGAAACTGGCAACTCAGGCATCGGAAGTTGGAGTGGCAAACCAAATAAGGTCCCACTAGATTATACGTGGTATTGGACCGCATCACAGCGAAGCTGGTTACATTAAGGTAGATTTCCAAATATGGTATAGTGACGAAGGTCAATTTTGCATTTACAATGCACAATCCCATATTTTATTTATGTTTCACCATAAGAAAGCGGCACATGATCTGGCCGCAAACGAAATTACGATTTGCTTATGGATACCTAACCTAGTTTTGTTTAATAATGGTATCTATTACATACATTTGTGGTTTTAGAGAGAATAAATTCAAATATAAATATTAGCCGTTCAATTATTCAGTCTTCGAAAATCCCAGATTTCATCTAAGAAAACAAAACTAGAAACCAAGCTCGTTATCGGTATTTATTCTATTACCTGTTACTTGACAGCAAGTAACAGTTGATACTCGTGGCAATTTTCGCCATATAGATGACGAACCGCTCGTTCAAATGTTGAAACAATAAATGCAAAGTATATCATCAGAATGCTTGTGTGCAAAGTAATGACACTATCGACCCTCTCTTCTGGTCGGTAATAGTTCACAAATATTAACCTGAATATCTAACAGAATAAAACATAAAATGCCTCAATCACGTCCAGTCCCACAAGACGGTTGTAGAAATGACCGATTGAAATACTGAGCGAATGGTAATAAAGAGCAAGATTTAATCACATCTCTGAGTTTACCGTATTGCACCTACAACTTGCATTCAAGTTAGTAAGTCGATGGTGGGATGACCTGTGCGCTTCGATTTGGAGTGATGCTTATTCAATACAATGGTTTTATTTCGGCGGTGGATAATCCCAAACTGCTCAGTGGGAGTGTGCAACTGGACGAGGTGTTCAATGTATCAACCCAGACAATTCGAATCTCGCTTTTACGCAGTCAATTTCTAAAATGGATTTCGTTTTCATTTATAAATCACTGCACACACTGGAATATTTGACCGTAGCACTTCATACCAGCTCTTCAAGCTTAGTGTGGCAACGGATCGCGATCAAGTAACGGACAAAACTATACGTTCATAAGGCTGTGGCGTAATACGTGTGAATAAAATCAAACAATATCAGTCTTTGATTTCAAACTGTTAATCTTTATACAGTGATCAAAGCGTGGTAGGTTTTGGGTTGGATCGAAAAATCCGATTATACGTGCATGTGTGTGGATACAGTAAGAACCAGGAGGAAACGCAGACAGCACTCAAATGAGATGAAAAGTGAATGAGGAAATGCTCGATTGATAATTCCTGCTTTCCGAAAGCGCTTTTGAGGCATTTTCATGACAATCCATTAAACAGGCATTTGTCCATAAATATCTAAATTGTGACTATTTTATTACAAAAACAATTAAAATGTGCCCCTTAGTGCTCATGGTTTTGAAGTTAAAATATAATTGAAAGAATTCTTCTGAACCTATCGTTTAAAGCATTACTTAGTCGAGGTTTCATCATCTTATCCTCCGAAAGATTTAACGGAACCGTATCTCAAACGTATATGCCACTGGTATTCCAAACTGGTACCCTGGGCTATTTTTGCAAAAAGCGTATCATATAAAGCAAATTCTTGTTCATTTCACACAATAGCGCATCGTTTGAAAGCCTCTGCTGCGTACAGAGCCCCCGATGATAGTGAAGTAAAATCAAAGACACAATAGTAAACGTGTTTAGCAGAACACTGCCCCAAAGATTTTGTCGTGAGAACAGCATCAAACCAAAATAATACTGATCCTAAACTCAGTTTGATTGGCTTAATGTACACTGACAGGTTTTTTCTGAAACTGAGATTTTCAAAACGGTTCACAATCAAGGATATGGTTGAATTATTTCGCAGAAAAGCAATAGAATATAATCAGTACTTTCTCTACGACACGTGGATCTGTTTAGGTTGATGGTACTCAACGTTAATCATACTTTACTCGACATGATTGGGACTTGGCTTTTTTTCACACAATTGTTCATCGCTCAATCATTTTGGCGTTTCAGTTCTCGAGGTTTGCTCGCAAACCACACCGCCATCCTTCCATTTAGTTTGGCAAGCCATGGATTGGAACAGTCGACAGACAATTGTACCTGAATGAGATATTGTTTGCAAAGACCAATAGTGAAGTATGTGTGGAACTAATATTTCTGAGTTGAGTCAATTGTTCATTCGAATGGGCGATGGATCCACATAAAGTTTTTAAGTCGATTCAAACAATCCTAACACCTATGTATGTAGTTCAGTCAGTTAGGAAACGAATTTCCGTCAAACTGGATCATGTGATTTATGAGGGAATATGGATACTGGTTGACAGCATTTTCAATAATCTCGTCCGAAAACTGAGACATACTGAGCGCTATGTTTACCGAGTATCGATTGAACCACATTTCTTCCAAGGAATACTATACAAACATGTAAGATGACGTTGCATTTAACAGAACAAAGGTCAAATGATTCAGTTGAATTAAAGATGTCTCGCATGAATTCACGATAAGCCGAATATTTTCAAAAGCTTTTGGCGCTATATCTTGACATGACCCCACAATAGTTAAATCATATTTCCGCAAATTTTCTGACTTGCGCCTCAGGAAGGAATCCAACTTTACCTTGACAAGTTTCCATTTTCTGCGTACTCTGATGAGTTTCAGTAATCAATCTGAAAGTTTGCCTAGCGACATTTTTGCCCGAAATGGTACAGCACAAATGAGAAATATCGGAGTAGGGTTTCTTACGCGGATGGGGAACTTTTTATATGCTAAAACCTAGATGATCCTCATCAGTGAGTGGACAAACCTATATATTCTGTCGTCACGCCAAAAACCGAAGTAGATTTATCGATGCATTTTCTTTATTGCCTTCAGGTCTGCTACAAATCTGGTCAGACGTGAGCAAACTGGAGGCAGTCCGTTTGTGATCTGATCACACTAACGCTGTTTTGAAATGGTTGGAACAAGGAATATCCACAAGTAAAATGAAGCGTTCCATTCTTGCAATAGTAGACATGGCTTAATGGTTATCTACGTGGGTTATTTAGCGCTACGGTGATCCACCGTTCGGAGATCGGAGATCTTTCATTTGAATAATACATGAAATGCAATTTTGAAGGTTTTGCTTGCTTTCAACGTGCTTTCAACAAACCCGAGATAATGACAAAAAATATCGTGCAAGCACCTCAATCGCTAGCCGCATCAATTATATACATATACAACTAAACCTGTGCTATTGAAATATTTTGTTCCGGTCAAAATTGCAAATATTGCTTTTTCGAACAAACTGAGTTGAGGTCGAAGGTTTTTGTCTAAAAAGATTTCAATGGAACAATAAAAGAGCATTGGTTCCTGTTGCCGGGTCATCAGATAGTGATATTTTGAAGTACTAAAGTCAAAGTCTCAATTTAATTATCATAGAGCATTAGCATTTTAAAATTTCAGATCAGTTGTATAGATGATGAATGATTGTACTAGAGACTGATATTCCCTCTAGCATTGCATCATATTAGAGGCATGGCGTTGGCCACCTTTAGGGTGCGTGTGTGCTTATGTAGGCTAGCCGCTTCGCTACATGTCAGGTGATTTTCAGTCCTCGGTTCTTAAAGAAACAGAGCTTTTCTTCTACTACCATCGTCGGTTTATCAACAGCTAACGATTTACACGAAAGATATTGAAACTGGGATGTATTTCCAAAACGAGGGTCATATACATATATATACATATTTGAATACGGAACATAGGGATATATATATTAGAGCATTAGCTCTACGGTAACTGGAAAAGTTGCCTCAGCATCATTTACACTGAACAGTCTCAACTGCGCAACTCAAGGTAATTGGTTTTACTGGAGGAATCCAACTGGAAAAACGTAAGCATGGCTGAAAAATTGGTTCTGTGTTACACACACAGAGTGCCGTTTGTTTGTAGTTGCGGTGACTCAGAGATAAACCGAAACATTGTCACACTCTTCACAAGGGACGACAATGAAGATAATGTCCAGCTGGGCAACAAACTGTCTACAAACAATACGTTCGAATTGGAGAACGGAGCAACATCCGCATCACGAACTGCAACCCTTCATCAGCAAATCCCGTTAATGAAGTACTGTTCATTCAATCAGACCGTCCGATGCTGTGCACCCAGTGGCCCGATTGATTCATTGACGGGGCAGTTGAACTTTCGCT